TAATAATGATACGCAATTTGCTGACGAATAGACTATTTCAGAATCGATGAGATGATGTAATTTTACGACAGTATACGAGGAAAGTATTGCGTTTCGGGCTATTCATTATTTTCCTGTATTACTGAGAATCATCTGATTCCGTGACAGAAATCCATTTGTTCTCCGCTTATATGAAAGTTACGTTTATGGGCGAAATGTCCTCTCAATCTTGCCATCGCATCGATTTTTGGGTGAATTAATATCGAGGGCACGAAAGGATTCTACGGAGAGCAGGAAAGAATAAGAAAGGAAAACTCACGTCGTGACGAGGTCCTTTGGAAAAATGTATTGATAACTTTCCAGAATCGCTGAAAGATCTGTCATGATCGCTATAATGCGATGTTACGTGGGACACAAAATGTTATCGATCCCAACGACGAATAGATTTCTATTTGATAAATCGACTGCATCCATCATAAATTCTCAGCAGTTCCAGCTAAGTGACATTCGTCGGGCTTTGCATTTGTCAAGCTTCGCGATCGAGTTAGTCGGCTTACAATTTGCTCAGTATGCGCATAGACATTAGCAATTCTCATTCAGATCTTTCTCTTTGATCTATATACACAATATTACTACAATATTACTTATGATATTACTTATCATGTATTTAATATCAAATAAAGAAAATAATATTATAAACCAATTGAAAACAAAGCAAATCTCGTTGACAAAATGACGACACAATTTTATGTAATAGAAAACGATTAACGCGCATGGAGACGAACCTTACATCAAGTTACAAATTTTTCAACTAACGAGATAAAACGTTTGAAATGCAAAAAGATCTTTGCATATATCAGCAAAAGTACGTAGGATGAAGGCAAACGTCCCAATTTTCTTTTCCTTCCTCCTCTCCCCCCAGACATCCTCGAAAATTCTACAAATACCTTTCTGTGCTGCGTCTGCACTCCTGTCTCTTGTTCGATTTGATATTATCGTAGGAATCTTCTGGCCTACTTGACGTTATAAAATGTTGAAGAATGAGAGCAAATACCGCCGGAGGAATAGTCAGCGTAAATTCAAGGACGAATCTTCCTTCCGTCTGCATTTCAGAATATATTTGCATCTTTGTAAGCTCTTTTTATTACTTTAAGCAAAGGGACAACTCGCAGGGCGATTTCGATACATCAGCGGGGAAAAGCAAGTTATCGCTGTAATGCGAGTCACATACGAAATTCTAGAATTGATGAAAAATGTAAGCAAATCGACGAGTTACACGTGAAAAGTTTTCGAAAACGACAAATCCTTTCTCAAGCCCGGTGAAATACTTAAATCGACTCAAGTTTCCTTTAAGTACAATTCTCGAAGACAGGCAGTTACGAGACCAGCGCGAATGGCACGGCCTTTCCCTAGCAACTATGACGTCTGATTGACGTATCCCGGATTACGAAACAAAGCTCCGCGGATCGGAGTAATATTATCGCGGCCTATCGATATAAAATTAAGATATTTTTGAAACTTGAAAATTACCGAAACTCAAGTCACTTTCGTAAACATGTTGTGTAGAAATGACTAACAATAAAAACAAACTCATTTGTCATTCGGAAGTTGGGAACTTCGTATTGTATTCTGCGGCCACAAGTGTCGGACAATATGCAACTTCGTCTTGAAAAAATTGCAACGTCTAATTGCAAAAGCATGAAAAAAGTTTTTCGCGTGCTTCGCCCTGCGGGATTATTAAATAATTCTTCAGATAGCAACGCGCCACAATCACGCACGAATGCTTTTGCTTATTAATTTCACTTCCGGCAAGGATGATAATTCATGTAGCGTTTCACAGATAATCTCTCATCTCAAGTTACAAATAAAAATCAAACCAACGATTAATGAGCAAAGTTGGCAATTAGCAAAGTGATAATCAACCTAGTAATCTTATATGTATGCTAATGAGGTGCAAACTATTTGATGTATCCGATATGCAAATGTAAGTATTATAACAAAATAATTTAGATATATAAATATAAGTAATCTATGAATGCCAGTATAAAAGGTAATATTAATATTGAAAAAAAGGAAATGTTTGTATTTCATGATTATATAATTTTAGTGTGCAAATTCATACAATTGAATGATTTGGATGACATTTAAAACGGTAATAATTAGTGAGAACGGATTATGATGGATTTATATCTCGATATATATGTGTTAATCGAAATATATATAAAAGTTTCAACAAATATAGCTCGCTCAACGCAGATTGCACTAACCGCAGAGTAATGTGGAGTTATTAATATTCGCGTGTGAAGCATATTTTTCGCAAAAATGGCAAGGCTCGGATATCTCACGTATAAAATACGGTGTATATAATGTCATCGCGTAATTGCTCTATGATTAAATGTCCCCAGTGAATTTCTCTCTTCGTTAAAACTCGCAAAATGAGTTGTCAATTTTGAGAGGTAACGCACAGTTATAGGATTTAAGATTTAATAATAGATATACGCCCCATAATTGT